CCGAGCCCCGCACTATTTACTTTTGCTAATGGGACAGAAGTAAAGATTGGGATTTCCCAGTGTTAGACGTTCTGCTTTAAAGCCGGCCAGTTTCATGATTGTCCGCCCACTCCCACCCGCAGGTCAGTTACGGCCCGGCGCCAGGAGGACGAGCCACTCTGGGATCTAACGAGAACAGGACAGTCGGGAATTCCACGTGCTACCCTAGAGGGGCAGCTTGCCTGCTGCAGCGCTGCTTCCTCACACGGGCTGGGCCCCGGGTTCACCCAGATCGGGGGTGGGTCTCTGAGCTCCAACACACACCGCAGAAGGCAGCAAATGGGGTGAATTTTGAGGTTTCAGCCTTCAGTTTTTAAAACAACCCAGGGAGAAATCAAACACCACAATTTAATGAAAAAGTCATCGGGTAGAAATCTCAGAGAACGCCAGCCACCCAGTGAATTCCGGGTATAGACGGTCTGTATCACTTAGCCCAAATACTTACCCCGCCTCTCATGACCTACGATGCGACTCAAGCAGAATTATTATTTGCCTGTACTGCAGCTACCGCTCTGCAGTCGCAGACAGTATAATACCGTAGAGGCACGACATACACAGAACTGGAGCATAGCACCACGCAGCCTCTAGGTTCAGACGAGCTGATGCCTGCCCTGAGGCCTGCTCCTCCCAGGCCCTCCCCAAATCTCCCTGATGAGCCCAAGCCCAGGCAAGACCAGGAGGTCCCCCGATGCCTAGGAAACAGAGCCATACAATTTTGGTAATGCGGGTAGTAAACATTACAGACAAAAAAAAATTACAAAAATATTTTTCCAAATCAGCAGTTTCATGACGCCTGCAATACACATTTATCAAGATAGCCAACTTATCTAAAACACCTACGTCTATTCAGAACACCAAACGTGTTCCGGGAGCATTCCGAATTCATAAATTGCAGGGAGAGTGTTTTCCACATGCTGGCCTAATGTAATTCACACAGATAGTCCCATTCGCCCTCGGAGCATGCTCTCGCACTGCGCATTACAGGAGTGTCAGGCTGGATTTATAGGAGAGAGTATTCCTGTGGGTGGCATTATTGATAGCAAATGGAAGAGTCACCAGACGCTAGAAATCGGAAGTACTCCTGAAAAACCCCTTTTCACTTGAAAGGGCTATAAATCTACAAATAATCTTGAATTCACAAGCAAGCCTTTTATGTAATATGTTGATAGCAAATACGTTATTGAAGAGACACACGTAATTACCTTAAAATTTACCACACTTGGGAATGTAGCAGGGCTCCCAAAATCTCCATCATTTTTCACTAAAATTTTAAAAAGGTGCCAGCAGGTGGCGTGCTGGTCAAGAGGCTGGACTCCCACATTGCTGGACCTGGCAGCTTGAAAATCATGCTAGGAAAAAAAAAAATCACGCTAGGCACATGTGTGTGTGTGCCCAAAATCCTGGGAGGACAACGGAGAAGAGATTTTGTCCTGCTTCTGTAAACCTGCTTGCTCTTCCCATGAGAGAATAGCTTGTGCTAGCCGTACAGAAAACCGCGTCAGGACGACACCCTGCACCTGCTACTGTCTGTGGCTAACTAGCCCGAAACCCTTCTGCTCAGCAATTAAGTGCTTGCATGGAAACCCCACTGCCCTCAGAAACAATGAACCTGCTTGACTCAGCTTCTGTCACTGCTTGCAGAGAAAGCCCTGGTAACCCACCCCCTATAAAAAGACTGCTCAGACTTGGGTCGGGGCTGCAGTTCTGACTCTCGGCCTCCGAGCCGCAGGCCATAGTCGCTGGCCAGCTAATAAAGACTCCCTTTAACCTTCATCTGGCTTTGGTGGTGGTTCATTTGGTTACACTCCACAATTTCAGTGTGGCCTTGGGAGGTGATTTCTAACCCCAACCCTCTCTGTCTCTCTCCGGCGAGCACATGTGCCATATGACAAAAACCTTAAATAAATAAATAATAAATAAATAAATTTGCTATAGAGTGTGGTACTTGCCAGAGAGGCAGAGGGAGATGGGAGGTGGAGAGAGCGAGCACGAGAGCGAGAGCGCATCACCCAGGACTGGGAGGGGAGAGGCGGCCATGCTCAGCGCTGTCTCTTCTCCCCTCAGGAGTTTGGGCACGCGCATCTTCTTGTGTCTTCCAAGCCACTGGTCCAGGATTCGAACTGCAAAATGGGCCATGTGGGATCCAGCCACCTAAACCATCATGCCACTAGTTGGCCCCTTGTTTAATTTTATGATAGTAAAAAAATATAACATTTCGCTATTAAATTTTTTCTTTGAGATTTTTTATCCTCTCGTATATAAAAACAAAGCAGGACTATGTATCCATTAATATTCCAGACTTTGCTAGGAAGCTCCCACATTCTCTAGGTGATAAAAAGTGATATTCGATAAGCGAGATAAAGGGGCGTTTTCGCGTCCCCGTCACCGTGTGTGGAGCATGTAAGCACAGAGTTCTCCGGTCCTCAGGGATCAGGCCCGGTCTTTCACAAGTTCTCACCGACATCAAATCGGACCTATTAATAGGGTTTCACTTCATGTGTGCAACGCGAGTGGCCAAATCAACAACCAAATCAACAGCGAACATGCCCTTCACCTCCAACTCGTGCTGCCCACCCACTCTCCCAGGTGTTTGGAAATAAATGCCACACTGTTGCCAACCACACCAGTAGTACTCACACTCAGCTGGCCCGCCTGCTCGCCCTCACAGGTTCCTTCCTGCAGGGAGGGCATCGTCTCTCGTCTCTCATCAACAAGACCTTCTGGCCAGAGTTGGCACATGTGCTGACAGATGGATGAGTTCTAGGAGGAGATAAGTTTGTAACGTGGGGGCCAGCAGGAGGAGTGGGGGTTGAAGCGCTGGACTCACAAATGGTCAATGGTGGTTCAGGTCCCGGACCAGGAGATTTGCTTTCTCACTTTCCCACCGTCTCATTCCGTCTTCCATGGTGAGCACATGTGCCCTGTAGAAAATTCAGAAATGATAATAATCAGAAATAAAATTAAGTAAATCATTTTTTTTGTTGAAAGATTTTCACTATAGGGCCCAGTTGCTCACCAAAGAGACAGAAACTGAGAGATATAAAGCAAGAAAGTACCCTATAAAATTACCATTCCTAATATCTGTAATAAGATCTTTTTTTGGGAGAGACCTTTCCTATAGGGCGCGTGCGCTCGCCAGACAGACAGAGAGACAGAAAGTGAGAAATCACCCCCCAGGGGGATGGCCACGCCGCAATCCCTTCTCCTCCATTCTCCTCTCGGGATCCTGGGCACACACGCACACGCGCCCGACGTGAGTTTAAGCCACTAGGTCCGGGACTCGAACAGCGGTCGACTACATGGGAGTTCAGCAACATGGCCATTACAATAACTGCTGGCGCCTAAGATCTTTTTTACAACTAAGCCTATTGTAGGATCTGTGTGCACAGGGGGATGACCGCACAGCCGCTGCTTCTATTACCTGTATTCACACCTATGCTATAACTGTACCTGTGGTCATCTGTGTGCACAGGTGGATGACCGCACAGCCGCTGCCCCTACTACCTGTATTCACACCTATGCTATAACGGTACTGTGGTCATCTGTGTGCACAGGTGGATGACCGCACAGCCGCTGCCCCTTCTACCTGTATTCACACCTATGCTATAACGGTACTGGGGTCCTATTTGTTCACCGG